GATTTGAAGTGCTATATGTGAATATAAGATTTTAAGAAAAAAAGCAAGGAAGCTAGATCCATACAGCAACCCTTCTACCCTAACAAGCAGCAAAATTATCCCTGAAACTGATAGCAATGCTAAATAAAAATCAAGCATCCTAAGGAACTCACATTGTGCTCCCTACAGAAGGCAGCTACCATGGATTCCTCAGCACTTCTTTTAGTCAAGTGCTTTCTGTCAACAGGCCAACAAATCTGAAGGCAGGGGACACCTTTGCTGTGGAAGCCTTCCATTTTCTATTCCAGCACGTCCACTGTAGCCTTTCTGGGATCATACCAAAAAGCTAGGAATATATATGGCTTTCTTCCTTCTTAAAGGCAATGGAGAAACTACAGAACTCTGATTCAAAGGCACAGTTTAATTCATTAGATATATAGAAGCAAACTTTGGCAGACAAAGAGGTAGTGTATATGAGACCTGAACTGTGAAATTTCGAATAGATGTAGCCTTAAAAGGCACCAATCTTTTAAGCAAATAAATAATTAAAACATTTCAGAATACAACATGTATCGTCATTTATACTGCCTCAATTGCAAAAGCAAACTAGAAGCACATTAAGAATTTAATGAGCAGAGCTAATATTGGATAGTCTTCAGTAAGGCAGCAAGCAGCAGCTGGTACTACGACAGTGATACTTCTAGTACTCCGGCCAACACAGACATACTCCCGCATGCTACAGATAAGCGTCTTTTTAAAGGCAATTTCACACACAAAAGACAATAGCAGTGGCCCATAAAGAAAAGCACAGATACATATTCTGACTTTTTAATCCTATTAACAATTTCCTACTATAGTCAATCCCTACTACAGAACATACCGTAACAACACTTTCAACACCAGAAGTACAAGGTATTCATCTACAAAAATTCAACACGAGTGCAATCATTTCTCATTTCTGATAGGCACATTCAATTCAAATTCCCTCCCACCCCCAGAAAAGGTCATTCACGCTTTACAGCTTGTATATTTGGCAGTACATGGAGTGCTGTCATGTTTCCTACAAATAAAAAAACAAGTCAAATCAGATATTTTACATTTAAATAATTTTTACATTTATTCTGAAAGCATATCCTTAGCTTTATCATTAAATCAACAGTTAGTCATGAAACTACATCGTTATTTGTCCTCTTTAGTAAGCAACTGTTACGCTCATGAGACTTTTGTTTCAGTTTCATCGACTAGACTGCTAAAAAGAGACCCAAGGACTAGAACAGCATTTGATCCAAATGGATCATTTCAAGTGATGATCAGACTGTGCCAGAGCATTACCAGAAACCGAACAAGATTCCTAACTAATCTGGAAACTATGTCGTGAGCATTTAACGATTTTTTTAAACAGTCATTTTTAGTACATATTGTATAACCAGAAGCTGAATATTAGTTTGTGAGACTTTTGACTTTGTAGTGCACTAAGAGTAAATTTACAATATTTAAACATATGAGGATTCAAATTTTTAGTTACATTCATGACTACTTACACCATATATTTTCAAAGTCCTGAATTTGAAAATAGCAATCACTTACTCCTGAATTATGTTTTTTTTTTTTGGGGGGGGGGGGAAGCACTTCTGCATTATTACGCAAGGTCTCTAAGGAGTTCCCAGGTACCATAAGACAGAATTCAGGAGTCTGTAGTGTGTACACATACCAACTGTGGCTATGTCACACTAATTTCTCTTATCACTGTCATGTGCAAAAGGGAAGACTGCAAATAAGAATTCTTGATTCTTCCCCCCTCCCCTTCCAGCTCTCCAAAAATAAGATTAGTTTTCAGGGTTAGATAGCCTTATCTCCATTAGAAATATCTTACTTCAGAGACAAAAAAAACATATTTCCTAGTCCATATATTATTTTGAAGAGACTCCAGGCTGAAGTTTTATATATGCCATCTCAAACTTAGCAAGAATACAGAAAGGTCACTTGATCTTAAAATAAAAATCAAGCCTATGCTTTTAAAGACCTTTGCCTTAATTCAGAATAAGAGAATTTGTGCAATAGAAAAGAAGCAACACAAAGGCACTCGCTTAGGGAAACAATTGTGGTACAAACTCGGACCATTAATGCAGTAATGACAAAATTCTGACAAAGTACAATCAAATTAAGCACATAGATCTGTGCTGCTGTAACAAGGTCTGAAGAGTCAGATTTTTTTAAAGAGCTAATTTGGACTCGACAGAAGTATAGGAGCAATCGTAACTGCTGTCAAATGCATCTGACTCCTGGACTAAGCAGCAACTAAAAATATAGGAGAGGAAAATAATTCTAAACAAGCAACTATATTTTGGCCCTTTTTAGGATTATAGCACTCTGAATTTGAAAAACAAATCAGCTTTGTATACAGAAGTTTAAGAGATCTTGTTTGCACCTTCATTTATTTTTCTTAGGAAGTTGAAAATGAATCAGAAATTCTGAAAGACATATAATCAAGTTTCACGTAAAGGGATGCACGCTACCATTATAATGCTAGTATCTGCATGCTGGGGCAAAAGTAGTTTCCAGCTGCAGTAGTGTTCTGGTTGCAGGAAAAAGCATCATTAGTTAGCAAAAGCAACACACCATTGGATTCCATCCCACACTGCAGTCTGTTGCTGAACTGCGGAGCATTACTGAGACACAGGCAACATCCTACTGAATAAGTACATGCTTTGTACCCTACAATAAAAAGTTACTCATTCTTTAAAGGCAGCTCAAAGCTAAGATTTGTGATATGCAGTCACTCAAAGCTATCATTCAGGGTACTGAATGACAATTCTTCAGGTAGAGGTAACATACCCTGTTCTCCTAGAATAAATGTACAGGGAAGAAGAGGCATACTTATTATAACCTTTTCTACAGGAAACCACTGTTCACAGCTAGCTGGATTCCATACTTCCCCTGAAATTCTGAGTACACCATAAAAAAAAAAAAAAAAAAAGATACTTAGAAATCATTGCAAAAGTCCAAATTAAGTGGAATGCATATACCTTTTAAAGATTCAATTAACTCATTTGTGCAGAGTCTTCTGTCTCAGATGATACATTAGTTTTTAAAATACATGTTTCCTTGCAACTTTCATCAACTGTATACGAGCTGAACAGCAGAAGGGGGAAAAAGGTCTAACTGAATATCCTTTAAAACAGGTAGATTAAACACAAAAGAAAAGAGAGCGGGCAAAGAAAGATTTTTGCTGTAATGCAAAGACTACAACCCAGTCAGTATGAGGTACTGGTAGCACAATGGTTTGTAGAGGCTCAGGTAATTCAGGAATCCAAGAACACTGAATGGTGAGATTTAGGCCTTAATAAAAGGAGATTAAAATTTTTTCCTTGTCTGAAAGTCCAATTTAATTTCGGATATTCCTAGCAAGCTTAAGGAAAGCATTGGGTGCAACAAGACTTTTCATACAGTAAATTTTTCAGGAATACGACCTTCTTTAATTTTTGGTGCTATTGTTTTATACCTCACTTCCTCTCCACACTGAGAGCTCTCTCCCCAAATGAAGGCAGAAAGCATTGCCACACTACTATCAACTCCCAAATAGTGATGCTCAGGCTATCCAGGTTGCAGATTATCCAAGCCACAGATGAAAAGCAAATGCATTGCATTACTTAGCAGCACAGAGGTATAAAGCCACAGACACTCTGCTTACAGGGCCACTTTGACCCTTGAAATGATACTATAGTGCCTACCTATATGGAGGTTACTAAGACTAAAACTTTAATGGATCTAAGCTAGCTTCAGGATTCTCCCAAGTGGTACTGTGTGCACTGCAGTGCAAATATAACTGTAGTAGTAATTCCTCTCTGGTCTGCTCTACTGAAAGCATCTCTTCCACTGTCTCACACACCCCAGACATCTTTTGACCAAATCTCCTGGAATTTAAACAGTTTTGACAAGATGCACACCTCTCCACATCATAACATTCTAGATGTACCAGCTAACTTGCTCTGTTTTGAGCATTTTGTCTGTTACAAACTCTTTCTCCAACAAAAGCATTTTTTTCCCCCAAGAATTTAAAGACATACATCACTGCAAGAAGCAATGCACAAAAAAGAGCCATTTAAATCTTCTCCCCTATCCATAAGGAGGTATACCTTACAACCAGTTATTTTGAAGATAAAGTTTGAATGGCCCTTTATGTTTCATTAAAAACAAAAGAATGCTGCTACTTATGCAGTTAATATCTTACAGCTGGCTTTACCAGTCTTTAACACAGGGTCACCAATCATTGCTGCTGCAGGAGGAAAAAAAAAAAAAAAAAAAAAAAAAGAAGTGGATCCACAGATTACACATTCTACTAGCAAAGCTGACTACCTGTGTTTTTGAATAGTGCAGTAGCATTGCTTTAGGCCAAGATTTCTCGTTTTCCCTGTAGCTACACCCGTATGATTTTATTCAAGTTCTTTCTGGTACAAAATTGGAATATACTAGTTCTTCAGTCACCCCCTCCACTGCTGTTGGTGCATCTTATGGAGAAGAGGAAACCCCTCACTTCACTCCCAAGGCTTCCAGTTCATTTAAATCACCCTGGCTCTTAAAACCTATGGAGACTTTCCCTAGTGATTCCAGATACTATTCAGGCAGCAAAACAAAACAGATGAAGCTCATAGAAGCCAATACTACACTGCTTTTAAGACAGGAACTGGAACATTTTAGAGCAGACACAGACATTTCTTTCACATTAAGTACACCCATGTCAAGCGTAAGCCTAAGGACGTTGTTTTCCTTGAAATTAGCACAAGCTTTAATTAGCAGTTTATCTGAATAACAGATAAAAAAAAAAAAAAAAGGTTAAATATACTGTTAGGCACTTTAGCTTTCCGTCAGCTGCTGTGATAAACTCACATATAATTGTGGAGCATTTTAAAAAGAAAAGGCAGGTAAGGCTCAAGAAATTTGCATACTCGTTAGCACTGCTCTTGCAGAGTCATGCAGAAATTCGCAAAAGAAAAAAGAAAAAAAAAAAGAGGTTTACTCACCCTTTTGGTGAAAACAATAGCTTATAGATCCAGAAGGCTGCCAGCAACACCAGAATTGCCACAATTGCTTTAGGAAGAATAAAAAAAAAAGGGAGGGGCCTTAGAATGATAAAGATCACCACTAGCTCACAAAAAAGTCTCAGAAAACAGCAAACCAGCAATGTCTTCACCCTTCTGTCAGTCCTACACAGCACCCTCCCCTTCCAACACTTAAAATATGCATGGCTTATTTCACAATGATATCTCCGATGCTTTACCCAAGACTCCTCAAGGTACTTCAGTTCAAATACAGTGATCACCAAGATGGCAAAACCCAGCCAGCTTAAAAACATTAAAATAGATGTCATAACATCCTAACAACAATTTTTAGAATGTGTTTATAAGGACGTGGTGGTAGAGTACTACATTCATAAAAGCTTTCTTAAAAAACTGGATAACAAGCGCAAAGCTGGAAGATAGAGGAAGCAACTTGTTGACTAGGCCCAGTTATTTATCTATTCAGAGCTTTAGTAAACCCACAGCACTCTCCTTGTATACTTCGTGCTCTGCAGAGTTTACAAAATCAGCAAAGTTGTGGAATGCTACCTTTGAAATCTGACGCATCACACATGACAGAAAACTCATTTTACATAAAATTGATTCATAATTGCTAAGCAATCTTTTCTTGAAACATGCAGGTTTAGACAAGCATTTAAAAAAAAAGAAAAAACAACACACACACCACAAACCTTCAAAATCATGTTACACATTAGCGTAGTCACAGGCAATGACCAAAACCAGTCAACATCAATTCCAAGTAAAAAATATAGTTCAAATCGTATCTTGCTCAAGTTTTATAGGATACTTACCACAGATGATGACGATAATATATGCACCTAAAAACAGAGTGAATTAGTATCACAAGTGGAATACGTGCTTCTTATTCAAACATATTATCTAAATATATGCTTGAGGTTATTTCAAATAGATCAAGCACTTTTGTCAATGCAAGCCTTATAGCAGACCAGTTCCTACCATAATATCTATCAGAGCTTACAATATTCCTGTTCTTAAATGGATTTTACCAAAATCCATTTTTCCTCATGTCAAAATAAAGAGAAGTTTGCATTAAATGACTTCTCCTAAATACAAAAGCATGTCCCCAAGAAGTAAATCTTCCATTACATGCATTTTTTATTCTAACGGAAATGTTTGCAGTTCATACTTACTTAACTGGCAAGTTGGTACTTCAGGCATCCATCTGTTTGCTCCAACATACTGAATTTTAGCTTCACCATGTAATGTGTAGCCTGCATAACATTCAATTGTAATACTATCCCCTACAGAATATGACGATTTTAATCCAGCAATTACTCTACCATGACTAATGTCCAGAGTGGAACCAAAAACTATAAGCTCACCTGGAAAAAAGAGGAATAAAGTCCAAATATAGCACTGGTACATGAAGCAGATTGAAGAGTTTGCCATCAAAAACCCCCCACATTTGTTAAGTATAAGAAGCTTAGTCAATCTTGAAGACACTTGATATCAAAAGGTTTCCTGCTTCCTAGAGGCTGCAGATAATGTGTGAAACGCGTCCATCAACAGACGTAACAAAAATACACATCTCAACTTCATCAGAACAAACAGCTGCAGCAAAGTAACGATAATCTTTCCATTTATGCCATAACTAGTGCTCACATAGTGCAAACTGTGGTTAATGTAAGGTCTGTCATCGTCAGAGGAAGAATCTTCAGAACACTTCCAGAACAGTGTTTCACACTGCCTTTTGAATTTTATCACTTTTTGTAAACAAATCTAAGACTTAAAAAGACTCCAACTATGCCCAAAATTCATCTCAGTTGCTCAAATCCTACCCGAAAACACTCTCAGCCTGTTAGCAGAATCTGATTCTTCCTATCTAGGCATGCTGACAGGCCTCCAACTTTCAGGCACTGCACATTACTACATCAGACATTTGGAACTCATCATTCTGCCCATGATTTATTATGATTTTTACTCACAGTTTTGCAATGAACTCCACGTATCACGTCCTTCACATGTTATCGTCATCTCTCCAGCACCATCAGGAAAAGCGCAGTGAGCACTGCATTTTACCTGAACAGATTCTCCTTTTGCATAGTCAGATTTCAGTGGAATTATTTTTCCATTTCTGATCTTTGGTGCACCACATACATCTTCAGTAACTATGTATTTTCAAAAGTGAGCAGAGGAATAACGTTTTAATGTTTTATAACATTAAGTCACTCAACTTTTGTACGAGAAAATAGATTAGCTTATCTGAACTGCTAGAATTCTAGCATATCTATACCACAAATCTAAGTATAAAGGTTTACTTGAGAAGACTACTAAAAGACTCTCCACTGCAGGTGTTCCTTAAGGTATCTTGACGCAGTAGCTAAGAAATCTGTATCTATTAGTTACTAATTCTTGTAAGCTCTAGAATCATTTCCAGGTACCTTATCAGACTCATTCGTTATAAAACACTCAAACATACTCTTCGCAGGAATGTTCTCATTCTCAGGACCTCATTATTAGAGAGCACACGTAAGACATTCTCTCACTGTTCTCTACAACAGTACTCCCTCTCCCTCTGGCATAAAGGGGTTACAAAAAGTCTTTTGCAATGTCCCCAGTCCTGCAAATTAGTCCTGACTTAACAGTTTGCCTGGTCAGCCTCTAAAAGCCTACCGCACACCATACAAGATGCCTGGAAAACAGGCGTGGGTAAGAGTGAATTGATACAGAACTTCAATATTTTAGAGTGCTCTAGGAGAACACTATAGATTTCCTCATTGTGCATAATCTTAGTCCTTTCTATCAAAATTCAACAATACTCATCTTTCCTCTTGTATTTCTGTACGAAATCACTAGAACAAACAGCGCGATACTATTACAATGCAGTAACATCACAGCACGCCCATGACCCAACTGCTACGTGCACGTCCGTAACTCAATTCATTCTCACCTGTAAACTCTTATAGTAAGAGTCACCATAACACTGAAAAAAACTGACACAGAGTCTCACCTGCAGACAATTTTTTTACCTTTGGATTTCAAACTACAGTGTAATAATTTTAAGTTTTAGATAGATTTACAACATTCTCAACATACAAAAAGAAAAGCCAGATTCCTATTTAAAGACTTACTTTTTTTACAGGCTGGTTTTGGGGGATGCCAGGTGCTATCTTCGCGACAGGTAACTGTTTCATTTCCAACCATGAAATAGCCTGGATTACACTCAAACGTAACTGAATCCCGATAGCTATAGGAAGGCCCAAATCCAGCTAGTTTTTTTCCATTTTGAACTTCTGGGTTATCACATTTGACCACTGAAACAGGTAAGAAAAATATGTAGCTTTGAAATATTTGTTAACAGTATGATTATATTAGACATTGCATCCTCTTACTCCTTGTAAGATAGTTTTTTCTAATCTAATTACTCAAACAGTTTTGGAAGGGCTTTAGAAGAAAGTTAAAGATTTTTCATCTGCAAAAGCACAGGCTTTATGCTTCCCGGGCTTTGCACTTATTTCTGCACTCACATAGTAGCTTTGCTGAGAAAAACTCTTCCTTCTCTTTTCACTATCCGTAACGGAACTCACACGTTCTTGCTCTTTCATATTTTTTTCCTTCAACTACTCAGGCTTTACGGTCTCCCAGTTCCTTCACTTCGTTCTTGTCACTTCTACCAACCGCATGCTTACATTTTAAATTTAAGTTTTGTCAGTCACGTTTTGTGAAACGATCGATAGCCATAATGCAGTTGATCAGATTACCACTGGAGCTATATCAACTAACAGCAGCAGAAGATACGTTCTTTCTTTTCTATAGGGAAGTCCATTTCACACCCACCCCGGCTCTAGGAAAGACACGGAGACATTCAAGTTTTTGCGTCTCACAGGCTACAATAAAGAAAATATATTTAAAAAAACCTAACAACCTCTACATTGTGGAGGTGGTCCACTCCAAATTCCATTTTGGTCTGCATCATATGTGCAGAAAATAGAATCCGCGCCAATTAGTGAGAAGCGATCCATGCCTTTTGGTACATCATCACACTTATAGATCACTGTTGTTTGATAAACATAGCTGTCCACTTCACTGTATCTCCCATTGGCTATTTTTGGAGGTGGCTCACAAGGAATTTCTAGAAATAAATCAAATAAATTAATCGACAGAGTTTTACTGTTACTTTAACTTACTTCAGAAGGATAAAAAAAAAAACCAAACTCCTGATTTTCAAGTAATTTCATTTAAAATCTGGCATAAAGCCATTTCTAAAACAAGCTACAGTTACAACTAAGAGTTAACTGTGGTCATTTACAACAGAGCGTCCCAATTTCAAGATGACTTTGACATTAACCAACATGCACTAATTATCACAATGACTGAAATTTATCAGTAGTCACTCTTCAGATACACATGTCCAGTAGTTCAAAATAAAAATCAGTCCTGTTTCATCACTGTTTCTTACACTGGCAAATTCATTTCACTGCACAGTCTGTACAGCTGTTTTTAATGAGCTACCATCATCTGAATATAAACTTAAACATATTTACTCACGTTCACAGAAAGGAAGACCTTCACTCCAGCCAACACCTTTACCTTCAATTACACAGGTAACTTCATTAGTTCCATGCAATCTGAATCTAGACAGATGAAAATTTTAAAGAGGTGGAACTTAAGAAATCACTTATTACTCCAACAAGTGGCTAGAAACTTTCTTTACATAATTCTCTTCTACCAAAATGGGGACATACCAAGTTTTCTGCTGTAATGAGAATGGTATCTTAAAAGATTTTGTTAACAATCTCAACTTTGAAAACAAAAGAAGAGCAAATGAGAAGTCATTAAAGAAACGGATAGAGGTCTTGTGGTTTTAAAATGTGTACCCACTAATACTGATGCCTTGAAGTTACTAAGCAACTAAGCTGCTAAAAGGAAGGGGAATAAAACCTGGCAAGAGGTTAGCACTTTTGACTTCATTTGTTATAGGAGAGGGACAGTGAGCTATTATTCAATACAATAATCAAGTATAATGGATACAGTCATTCCCCCTCCCAAAGGAGCATTTAAAAAAAATAAAAAGTCATTAGAGAGAACACTACAGGTTTCTCTCTACAGAATCCTACTGAAAAACTTAAGCCTTGGTTGACGCTAACAGGAAGTTAAACTAGGGAACTAGTTCAGGTTTTGTTGTGGTTTAATTTGCTCCAGGTAGAACTCAGGAGATATTTCAAGTCAGAATGGAAATGGAATCTGCGTAAAAAAATTTAGATTTGGTTCAAATCTGGTCTAAACAGAAAAAAGAAAGAATAATTATTCACTTCAACAAAATCCTTACCCCTCTTGACAAGAAAAAGTAATCCTTACCCCTCTTGACAAGAAAAAGTAATCCTTGAACCAAATTTAAGATCAAGATCTTCCACATGAACAGAACCATGTTCTAAGTCTCCTGGATGTCTACATTTTCTCTCTGGGGAAAAAACAAAAACAACCTTACATCTTTTGTAATTACATACAAAGACTAAGTCTTTGGCATCAACTGCCCTTAAAGTCAGCCTTCAAATCACAAATCTGCCAAAGAGGTCTTCTGTTTGGAGGAGCTGTCTGCAAGCAATCAAAAGAACATTCAAAAGATACCTTCATTATTTTGCAGCGATGACTACCTAAAAGATTTGATGACATACTGATAGTCTAACAGTTACATTTACTGTCTCTTATATTAACTATGAAGATTTAATTTTCTACTTAAGAGTCCACTATACCAGTTACACGCTCCTTACAGACTAAATAGTTTGAAATCATATCATGCTTATTGATCTCTGGGAATTTAACCAGTACCATTCACCATAAAGGCAGTATTATGTCCTAAACCGTCACTTTCTCCTTCCAGCAGTATTTGCCCCTAAACTAAAACACTTTCGTCAGACGTTCCACCCACACCCCAATAGTACGTCCATATGAGACACTGCCATAATTTGAATAGTTTTACTTTTCCAAAGTGTGTTGGTTACTGAGTCATCTATTTTTTTTTTTTTTTAAATATACATGTACACACACATCCCCAACACGTTCCTTCGCATTTAGTACTTCACCTAGCACCTCAGCCTGCACAGGAGGTAGTTAAAAGAAAAACAGAAAACATCTACTGCTTTCATTAAGCTACAACTCTGTCTTGGTTTTGGTCGGTTAATTACTGAAGATTCATTAGGTACCAATGAAATCTTCATTATACTGAAGCAATGCAAACTTTTCCACTAGCGCCAAGATCATAAAGTTTTAGCTTTTCAGCTGAAAGCTTTTTCAGTTTTTTTTAAACTTATTTTAATTTTTTTTTTTTTAGACCTGGGCCTGAATATTAGCATATTGAATAAAATCACCACGCATATGGAAAAAAACTAGAGCAACAGCATTTCCTAAGTTTTTTCCCCATATAAATTACTGGAGACTATCAGTTGTAGCCCAGAAATAACTGAAACCGTCAATTAATAACAGGAAAAAGAAAAAGAGCGCATGCATGCATTACCTGTACAGAACTGCTCTGTTTGTGACCACCGTGAGTCTGACCCACAAACAAGAGTTGATGACATTCCAGGGATACTCATGTACCCTGGACGGCAGTCATACGACACATTGGCTCCCACAGGAAAGCTCTTCGTTGCCTTGAAGTCGTCTTTGAGCTCTGCATAATAAAGTCTTTCTGGAGGTTCACATGTGCCTATTAGAATAAGAGGAAGGAAAAAGCAATATATAACTTTATCAACAAAAGAAGACACAAGGTGAAGCATAATGACACGAAAGCTAGGTTAGGCCAATAGATTTTAACGATATGTCCAAAAAGTGATGCTAATAGCTAGAGTTATTTTTATCATTTTTAGTTTTTTTCAACTTATAGTTATATGTAACACCCAACCCTAACACATGTTTCTCTTTGGCATCCTGCCTAGACAGCGCATTTCCTTTCAGTCCACGTTGTCTGTTTGCCTTCTTCCTGCAGTTAATTACTACTTAATTCATTGTATACACTAAAATGCTTATTTATATCACTGCCGGGGGGG